GAGCCCTACACCTTCGATCACATGGGAAGGAAACTGGGGCACAGCTGGAGCCAGAGGAGAGGCCTCCTGAGCACGTGGCCACTGAACAAAAAGTTATTTCAGGAAGCAGAAGGGAGTGTCTGGTGGGTTGGCAACAGAAGCGCTGTTGTCTGTCACGGAACTCACTGCCCCGACCACAGCGTTCTTTCAGGGCTGCTTCTGGGGCTCAGGAGTTTCAGCCACGACTCAGCCCCATTGGGCATGCCCAGAAGCCTCCTCCTGTGCATTACCATAGTGCTGACAGGGAGCTGGGCACGGTCCAAAATGACCATGGGCACTCCCAAACCTCTCCCTCTTCCCAGGCAAGAGAAACTCTCTATGGAAGGCAGCCACACTCACTGCTTCTCCAACACACACACAATGGCAATCATAGGACAGTCGTTAAGGACTGCCATATGCTTAAAGAATTGCTCCAATTGAATTGAAAGACCCTCAAAGCCAAGAATTCCCCCTGGTTAGCTGTGGGTTTTTTTGATGCCTCTCCAGAAAGATGCAAAGAAATTCCCTCCTGAGTCCAGAGAAAGAACAACTTTCACTTGCAAGCTGAGCCCAGCTCTTTGCAAGCAATCCTCCAGCCTCTAGGTAGCGCTGCGCACACCGTCCCTCTGCCCCCCCTCCATGCCCCCCTCACTGGGAGCATCCCTGCTCACTGGGAGCATGCCAGCAACCAGTGTTCCGTCCACTTCCTGGCGCTGCAGCCCGCCCAGCTGCTCACTGCCTGTGGCGCTGTCTTTGTTCTCCTGAAGATCCAGGCATCACAGCGGCAGCCCCCATGGTGCAAAGACCCCATTTCCCAGGGGAGCAAGGGAGCGCGAGGTCTTTTTGCTATACCTGAACTCTCCCCAGGTTCCCGAGTCTGGCGACTTTCTCTTAAGACTTTGCAAGGCTTCCCTGAGCCACAGAACAAAGCCCACCTTCACCGCCCAGGACCAAGGGCCAAGAGACCTACCCATGTCCTGCAGCTCAACTGAGTGACCACTCATTCTCTGGCCCATCCAGACTCATGATGAGCCACAGGACTTATAAGGGCTGAATTTTCAGAAGTAGATCGCAGAGACGCATCTGGTTGGATTCAAACTGCTCACCTTTTGGTTAGCAGTAGAGCGCATTAATGTTTTGCACCACGCAGGTAGGCCCACTCCCTCTTGAGAGGAGTTGAGCTTAAATCCCCCAGGATCAACCTGCCTGCCTGCCTGCTCACAGCCCAAGATGGGCTTGATTCCTATTGGTAAGGCCCAGCACCTTCATTTCCATGCAGAAACTCCCAGAAGGTTTGAGAACAATGGGAGGGCAGGTGCACCAGCGGCACTTGAGTTTCATTCTGGGGTGGGGGGTGAGTGGCTTGGGAGTCTGAAGCATTTAATTCTGGTGGCAGAGGACGTGAGATGCTAATGGTTGTCTGGGAGTGTGAGGACATAGACAGTTCTAGGGAGAAAGGCTCCACTGATAACCACACCAGGCTGGGCAGGCAGAAAAGGGCCGACCAGACCTGGGGATGTCATTCATTCATGCACAGATATTTGTTCCAAGCCGGGGCTTGTGGGGGGCTTGGGCAGGGTTGGGAGAACCACCCACACTGCAGTATGGCCCACAGGGCTGCCCGGAGCCTGGGGGGTGGCCTGGAGCCCCTTGAAGGCTGAGGAGAGTTTGGCCAGGAGGAGAGAGGATGGAAGCCTGAAGGAAGTTCAGTTCTAGGCCTGCTTGGGGAGAGATCACTGAGGTGTGCTGTGTGCCAATTCCAGGGGAAAACACGGCTCTGTAGTTAAGTGAAGGAGCTTGGTGTCACGATGGGTTAGGCATTGAACTGCTGACCGCAAAGTTAGTGGTTCGAATCCACCAGGTGCTCCTCACACGAATGATGTTCCTAGAAAGATTTAAAAGACCGAACCCACACCCACTGCCAGGATGTTGGTTCTGACTCGGAGCGACCCTATGTAAGGTTTCCAACTCATAGCGACCCGATATGAGGGCTCCGAGACTGTGAGCCTTCATGGGAGTAGACAGCCTCCTCATCTTTATCCCTCAGGGCGAGGGTGAACCGCTAAACTTGAGGTTGGCAGTCTAAAGCTCGTCCCGTCCCACAGTACCGCTGGGGCCCCTCTTTGGAAACCCTATGGGTGGCCTTGGTGGGGATGGGGGCGCTCATTCTACTCCTTCCTGTCGAGTCGATAAGACTAGGAATTGATTTGGCGGCAATGGTTTTGCATGGTTAAGCACCTTTGGTGAACACACCTCATTACTGCAGGACTTCGCGGAGCCTTAGGGCCTTCGGGCGTGCAGGCCAGGCCGGCCTGAGAAGTACGGGAGGTGGTGGGGACTGATGAGGTTAGAGAGAAAGGAAGGGCTCTAAACCCCACGTCAAGAAGGCCAGGCGATTCCTTGGGGCAGGTGAAGCCTCCGAGCATGTGATTAACTGGGAGATTCAGAATCAGGGCCTGGAGGCCAGGCTAGTAGCCAGCAAAGTTGTGGCTGTGGCAGGATACGGCCTGTTACCTGACCCCTATCACCACGCACTCCCCCAGCCTTGCGGACTCTCTGGGGGAGAGGATCCAGCCGCAGGAAGGAGCTTGAAGAAAGAGAAGACTGAGGGGAGCTGGGTAACCCTGGAATCAAAGAGCCTTTGGCACAGTCATCCGAGCTGCTTGGGTTCAAATCCTGGCTCAGCTACCTCCTAGCTGGGGAGATTTGCCCTAATACTCATGGGCCTTGGAGTGTGTGTGTGTGTGTGTGTGTATGTGTATTGGGATGGGGTGGTGGGTGGTTTTCACATAGGAAAACTCAGTGTGACGTTTGTCTAAAGCCCCGGAGCCTTCCATGGTCAGTTTCTCATGTAGACCTTCCACGTCAAGCGATCCTGACATCAGAAACATGTGGTCAGAGCCCTGGTAGCCTGGCTGTTGATGGCAAAGTCAGCAGTTCGAACCCACCAGCGGCTCCATGGGAGAAAGATGAGGCTTTCTACTTTTGTAAAGAGTTAAGTCTCAGAATCCCCCGGGGCAGTTCCGCTTTGTCCTGCAGGGTCTCTGTGTCACTGTCATCCACTCGCTGGCAGTGAGCTAGGTTTTGGGTGTGGGTTCATCAGAAAGCTGGCCCTGGGTGAGGGATGAGGGGCCTCATTCAAATGCATCTTCTCTGTTATTACACCCCACCCCCACTGCGGAGTCAGAGGCCCTGAGGGGAGGGACCTGGAAACGGAATATTAAACAGTTCCCTGGAACACCAGGTGGTTTTGTTAGGTAGGTTAGCAAAGGGCTGGGAATGTCCCTTAACGCGCATGCCCAGAGGGCCAAGCTAGGTGAACAAAGCAGTGGTGACATGCTCAGGGTTCCCGCTGGCAGGCAGGGGTGGGCGTGAACTTGAATTGGCTCACCTAGCCAGGTGAATTCAATTCAGCCAATGGGGTTGATCAGGGGTAGTGGGGCGGGGAGAACTTTGGCGCTGAGAGCTTTGGCAGGACTTTGGGACACTTTTGCCGGACACCGAGCCGTTTCCAGCCAGGCCGCGTGCTGGGGAGGAGTCCCTTGGGTGCAGTGTAAACCTGAAACTTCTTCTAACTTTCATAAAACTCACTTTGATCGCAAACCAGGCTTTGGCGTGAATTCTTTCTCGCGCGGAGCCAAGGACCGAGGTATATCTAGCGGGAGAGAGATCTAACAGTTTGAGACCCAGAGCAGGAACTCCTGGGCTAGCCTCCCTAGCCACGTGTACACATAGGAATTTAGTCTGCCAAAGTTCTTCGAAGCTGAACAGGAGCCAGCCTCGGGCAGGTGAGAGCTCTGGAGGAGAGATCCATCTCCTACCGGGGGAAGGGGAGGCAGAGCAGTTTGCCACAAAGCCAGGAAGGTCCATTTCTGGCTTGTGCAGCTCCCAGGCCTCGGGCCTGCTGTAGTTCCCTAAATTACCCAACTGCGTGGCCCTCGCTGGCCCCCAGCTGTCAATTTCTTCAAAACACACACACACACACCACCACCACCACCCTCCACAGTACCAGGGCAGGGACTACAATGGACCTGCCTGGGTGGAACACAGGGCTCCAGGGGGACTCTTCCTGCTGGCTCTCATGTCCACTCGTAACCTCAGAGTGTGACTCGTTTGGAAATGGGATTTTTGTAGGTGACATTTGCAAGGGCTGAGATGGGATCCTAGTGGAATGAGCCAAGAAACCCAAACCAAATTCACTGCCATCGAGTTAGTGTGCTTACTCATAGCGACCCTATGGGCCGGGCAGAACTGCCCTTGCGGGTTTCCGAGGCTGCCACTGTTTACAGAAGTAGAACCCCTTGTCTTTCTCCTTCAGAGAAGCCCAATGGGTAAACTCTGCCACCAGGGCTCCAGAATCGCAAACCCCAACTCCACGACAGCCGTTGAGGCCGCTCTGACTCAGCGTGCTGTAAGGACCGAGGACCGCTCCGAGGGTTTCCAAGGCTTTACGGAAGCAGCCTGCCTCCAGTTTCTCCCAAGGATCAGCCGGTCGGTTTGAAACGCCAAGCCTCCTATTAACAACCCAATCTTTAAGCCACTGTTTTTAATTAAGCCTCCCGTTAGCAACCCAGTCTTTACGCCAGCAGGGCTCCTTGGTACTGGACCAGGGAGGCCCTCAGCCCAAAGGCTGGTGTCCTTATCAGAAGAAAGGGCACCGGGAAGGCAGCTTGTGGAGACAGAGGCAAGGCTTGGAGTGAGGGATGCAGCTATGAGCCAAGGGATGCTAACGGCTGCTAGAAGCCACCAGCAACCAGAAAGGACCAAAGGTGGAGTCTTCCTCTAGCACTTCCAGCGGGAGGGCAGTCCTGTGGACACCTGGATCCTGGACTTCTGGCTTTCAGAACTGAGAACACACTTCCGTTGTTGTCAGCTCCCAGTCGGTGGTAATCTGTATGTCAGTGCTCCCCAGCCAAGCCGCCATCATTGCTGTGGACCCCGACCCCGACTCAGCCCCATGACAGGTGGTGGAGGAAGGGACCCCACACACAGGTGATTCTCTAAAGAGGCATTTTATGTCCCGAGCTGCTCTCCCAACCAACAGCTCAGAACTCCACGTCCAGCAGTCTTGTTCTCTTCACAAAAGCCCTCAGCGTGGGCGGCCACATTCCAGGAAAGGCCAACTTGAGGAGTGGCTAATAAATACCGGTCCCAGGGGCAGTATCTGGCAGGTGGTGACCCCCGGGCTCGCTGGGTCACTGCAGCTTCAAGCCACTCCGTCGCCGGGAGTCCTTGCGGGCAATGGGGCTGAAGTTCACAATCTCCGTGTAGATGTGTTCTGGGGGAGGCAGGGGGTTCAAGGTGAGTAAGGGGGCTCTGGGGGTAAGAAGGAGCCCCCCAGACACCGGGGGAGCAGGGGATCGGTTCAGAAGGGAAGAAGGCCAAGCAGGAGGCAATATGGGTTTTGAGAGAAGGGGGTGGGCAGTCGGGCACAAAAACAAGGCAGAGAAGAGAGCCTGTAGCAGGGACCGGAGGGGACAGCGCTAGGGCCCGGCTCTTACTCTTCCATTCATCCACTGTGAGTTTCTCGTGCTCAAAGGAGTCTGCGAATGGCTCCAGGCACTCTGTCTCCTCCTCGGGGTCCCGGCAGGACTCAAAGAAGGGGTGGGTGAGGGCCTGCGAGGCCGTCAGGCGCTTGTCCACGTCCAGCTCCAGCATCTTCTCCAGCAGGTCTGTGGCTGCAGCAACAGGGCCGTGAGTCCCCTCGTGCACCCCACAAGCCCAGAGAACCCGCCCACCTGTCTGAGAGGTGTCAGGGCTGCCAGAACGGCAGAGGCCCCCAAGCTCACCCGGCGGGCTGGCACGAGGGAAGAGCTGAGAGAAGTCCTTCTTGGGGCTCTGAGGCAGGGACTGGATGTAGGCTTTCGCCTGGAAGACAGGACAACCACAACACGAAAACCCAAATTCACTGCCATCAAGTCAATTCTGACTCCCAGCCACCCTACAGGGCAGGGTGGAACCGCCCCTGTGGGTTCCCCAGACTATAGCTTTTTTATGGGAGTTGAAAGCCTCGTCTTTCTCTTGTGGAGCGGGCTGGTGTTTGGAACCCCTGATCTTGCAGCTAGCAGCCCAGTGAACACCCACTTTGCCACCAAGGCTCCAAGTAATCACTGAGCAGCTGCCAGAGCAGAGGGGCACTGGGGGAAGATCAGGTGGCTCCCGGGCAGCTGTTCCCTGTGCCACCTCACCCGCAGCCAGGCCCATCCCTGCTCACCGCCTTGTCCTTCAGCTTCTGCACGAACTCTGCGCCGGGAACCCCGGTCACTTTCAGGATCTGGGTCAGCTGGTCCAGGTCTGGTCAGTGGGTCAAGGCCAGCCTAGCTCTCGGAGGGTTGACCTGAGGCTGCCTTCCCCATGATCCCCATCAACCCTCCTGAGGGCTTGGTCCAGGCTCCAGACCCATCAAAGGCCTTTGTCTCAGGACTCGGTGCCTGAAGCTTTTCTGACTCCCCTCTGCAGAAGTCAGACCAGAGAAGGGTCTCTCCCAACAAATGTGCCCGGATACCTTCCTGCTCCTTATCCCACCTGATTGTCACCTCATCTCCCTCCCCACCCCTCCCACCACGAGCTCTGCACTGCTCACAGGGCCAGCCTGTGGTCCAAACGTGAAGTGTTTCTTATGGGGGTGGGTGGGACCACAGGTAACTTCTCACTCTTAGCTGCTGCGGAGGCCAGCTACCAACTCAGGGTGATTCAAGCATTGTGGGATGAATGCTGGCCGAGCCAACACCAACCCTCTACTCAGGTGTGAATCCAAAGGTTGTGACCCCTAAGGTTTTCATTAGCTAATTTTCACAAGCAGATCATCAGGCTCCTATCCCAGTCTGTCCTAGTCTGGAAGCTCCACTGAAGTCTGTTAACTATCTTAGAGAGACAGACAGACAGACAGACAGACAGACAGACAGACAGACAGACACACACACACACACACACACACACACACACACACACGCCTCCACCAGCCAGCAGGGGGTGCTGTGCTTGAGATGTACTGGCTGGGGATCCTAATCAGGGACCCCATGAACAAACAATGAAAAAACACTACTGTAAGTAGAGTTGATTTGAACTCACGGTGACCCTACAGGACAGTGTCAACTGCCCCTGTGGATTTCTGAGACTGTAAATCTTTATGGGAGCAGAAAACCTCATCTTTCTCCTGTGGAGTGGATGGCAGGTCAGAACCATTGACTTTGTGACTGGCGGCCCAGTTTGTAACTCACGACACCACCAGAGCTCCTAAGCCCCCCAACCCCTACATCCTTATTATGCTTATCTGAATTTAAAAATTGTTCTACAGGGAGTCTGTATCCCTTCTGCGTTAAGAAGAAAAACACCATTAAGTCAAGTGCATGCTGAAGGAGTGGATCCCTGAATGAAGTTCAAGTTTTGCACCAAAGGATACAATCTTTGCCCTTGAACAGGGTTTTCCCTGTCAGCATCTCTGCCATGATACAGCCCACAGACCAGATGTCCACTGTGGAGGGACAGGCAGGGACCAGGGGATCAGTGGGCACTGACATGGCCTCTAGGAAGCTGCTCCACCCCCACCCCCCTCCCTCCACCCCACCCCAGGCAGCTGACCACGGACCGGTCTGGTTGTAGTGCATCCAACTGAGGATCACCTCAGGGGCCCGGTACCAGCGGGTCACCACGTAGCCAGTCATCTCAGCATCTGCTTGCCTCGCCAGCCCAAAATCCAGGATCTATGGCTCAGGGGACACAGGGGGAAGAGCTCATGGAGGGACGGGGGTTCTCAAGAAAACTCGTGAGGTTCGTGTGGGAGAGCGCCCCAGCCCAAGCCTCGGATGACCCAGCCTGAGGCCACTCACCTTCAACTCACAGTCTTCGTTCACAGCGAGGTTACCTGGCTTCAGGTCCTGGGACAAGAGGAGAGTGAGTGTGAGCACTGGGCTGAGAGGCTCATCTAGCTCTGCTCTTCCTGGCTGTGTGATGTTGGCCAGGCCCCTTGCCCTCTCTGGGCCTGGGGCTCCCATGTGACCTTGGCTGGGCCCCTTGCCCTCTCTGGGCCTCAGCTCCCTATCTGCTAAACAAGGGTTAGGCGAGGTGTCCTGAGGGAACCCACCTAGCTCTGAGAAGCTCGTTATTCTTGGAGCCTGACACTTTCTGAGAGCACTCCCCTGGAACCAGGCTGGGTCTGAGAACCCCACATTGCAAGCCCTCCCTCCACCTTTCCCAGCTTCCCTGGGCTGGAGCGCCCCTCTAGGGCTGCAACAAGGGCCCCAGACAACACTCACCCTGTGGATGACCCCAGCTGAGTGGATGTACTGTGGGTGGGGTGGGGGGGAGAGACAAGAGTGAATCTACAGCTTCTGTACCCAGCTTCGTGCTGCCCCAGAATCACCCCCACCAAGTCCCAGAGCGACACCCCCCCCCCCATGCTTCCCCCACCCCCACTGTGGCTCTTGTTCGGTGCTTTGACTCAGAACTCTCATATGCAGAGGAGAACAAAAGGCTGCCTGGCCCTGCACCATCTTCACCACCATCACTACGTTGAGTGGCGTCCAAGTCCATTGCTGGGCTGGGCTATCGCTCCACCACCCCATGGAAGGGGCCCTAGTTTCCACTGACCCTCTCTTTGACCAAACATGGTGTCCCTTCCTACCAGTTGGCCTTTCCTGATGACATGCCCAGGAGAAGTGAGCCGGAGTCTCACCCTCCTTGCTTCTAAGGAGCATTCTGGTTGGCCTTCCCGAAACCACAGGTCTCCCCTCTGCCCCCTTCCTAGCCCCCACCCACCTTGAGACCCTTGAGCATCTGATACACCAGGTACTGAATCTTCTCCTCATTGAACTCCATGCCCATGATCTTTTGCAGATCTGTCTGCATGAAGGGCATCACCAGGTAGCTGAAAGACACAAGGGATTCTTGGGGCAGCCTCGGGCCTGAGCTTAGAGAAGGGCCATGGGGTGAAGCAGTCCCAAGGCCTTAAAGCTGACCTTTGGTGGCGCAAACAGAACCAGCCCGCCACAGCCAGCCAGACCCTGACCCACGCCTCCCGGATCCCAACCCCCAGAAGGTGGGCCACGCAGATGGCAGCCTTCAGAGTCAGCATCTACATTGGAGCGTTCTCGGGAAAAGCAAATGGAACTGTGTCACCTCTCTGCAGAGGTGCACTCTCCTTGGTTCCCTCCCCGTCCCACAGCGCCAGCAGCCAGCAACACTGCCAGTGTCTCCTGTTCCTATGCAAGCGCTTTCTCTCCCGGAGAGTCACCTCCAGCCAAGACCGTCTGCCCTTCTGATCTAGAGACAGTAACACCACTTCCGAGAAGATGGCGGACGGCAGGAAGAGGAGGCTGGGCCATCACACCCTGTTAGGGAGATGACAAGACAGGGCGAGACCAGCCAACCCTAACTCTTACTCCAGGTTTTTAGTTTAGGTTTGTTCTTCATGCCACCAAGTTGGCTCAGACTCGGAGTGACCCCAGAGGACAGCGTACAATGTTCCCTGGGGGGGTTGAGGCTGTCAACCTTCACGGGAGCAGAGAGCCTCGCCTCTCTCCCTTGGAACGGTGGCCTCTCTCCCTTGGAACGGTGGATGGACTTGACCACCACCCGCTCCTCGTTAGTCAAGGTAGCAACAATAACGCAGGGCAAAAAAGATAAACCTTTTCAAACGAATTCAAAGAATGAGAGACAGTGGCCGAAGCCATCTCCGTGTGCATCTGTGTTTCTGCCTGGCCGCATTTCCTCTTCCTGCCTGGACTTGCTCCGTCCACAACCCCCTTCCCTTCTCCGGTTTGCGTCTCTCAGCTCTCCTCAGCCTCTGGTTCTCTCTTCACCAGGTTGAGTCCTGGGACCACCTACCCTTGACCAGGCTTCTTCAGGCAACCATTCCTATTCCAACCCTTTCCGTCACCAACAAGCTTCTGCAAAGAATGGCCCACCGTCTCCTTGGCTTTACTTTCTTAACCCCGCCCACTGCCCCTGCATTGATCTTGACTCACAGTGATGACCTCGTCTCGATGGCAGTGAGTACTAACAGAGAAGTTGGCAGTTCATATCCACTCCGAGGCACTGCAGAAGAAAGGCCTGGTAATCTACTTAGCAGAGATTACAGCCATTGTGCTAAGTAGATTACCAGGCCTTTCTTCTGCAGTGCCTCAGAGTGGATATGAACTGCCAGCTTTTCTGTTAGTACTCACTGCCATCGAGCCGATGCCCGCTCATAGTGCCCCCCTTGTGCATTTCTGAGACTGTAACTGTTTACAGGAGTAGAAAGCCCATCATTCCCCCAGGAGTGGCTGGTGGTTTCAAACTGCCAACCTTGCGGATTGCAGCCCAAAGCATAACCACTGCACCAGCAGGGCTCCTGTTAGTAGCCGGTAGCAAACTGTGCCAGCTTCCCCCTGAAACCTAGTTCCTGCTCCTGCCTGCCCTACCACCCAAACTGCTCAGATTTAACTCCTCAACAGGTCAGATCAAGGTCTAGCCCCCAGTGCCCAGTCTTTCTGTTTGGCTTTGGGCAAAGCCTGAACCCTCCCAAAGGCCTCTGTGATACAATCCTCCTCTGTCGCTCCACGTGCTGCACTGACCTGTTCCTGTCCCCAGAGCAGAACTTCCTCTCCCGAGGCCCAGAGCCATTTGCAACGGCTGGTTACATGCCCCACTGTTCATGGGCTCTTCAAAAGTGAAGGCCCCCCAAAACAGTCCACACCTCTCCCCCTGAGACCAGTTCTCTCTCGTTCAGTATCCCAAGCAAGAGCCTGGGCATCCTCCGGCCCTGGCCATCTCATTCAGCCATGGCAGCCCTGCGGATACAACAGGGCCCAGGTGGGCCTCCAGGGAGCTCCTGGCATTCCATCAACTCTCCTTTAGAATAAGGTCCGGATGAGTAACATTGGCCTTCGGACCCGGTTCCTCCGAGCTGCTGACTTCTCCCTCCCACTGCTGCCAGAGGTCCTCAAGTCAGCCCAGAGCCATGCTGACCCCATGCCCAATGGGATGAGACGTTGCCCACTTGGAGGCCTTCTCCTCGACCGACTGCAGCTCAGGCTGTTGTCATCCACAGCATTTCTTTTTCAGACAGAGGCTGCCAGGCCTTTCTTCCAACTCTACCTCAGACCCAAAGGTCTGCTGAAACCTGTTCAGCATCAGGGCAACATGTAAACCTCCCCTGACAGATGGGTGCTGGCTGTGTGTACCTGCGGTACCCTGGCTGGAAGTGAACCAGGCTTCCTGCATGCCAGGTGAAAATTCTGCCCTGGGACCACCAATGCTTCCCGCTACCAGCAAGCCTCCCAGACCTCGTTGTCCTCTGTCACCTCCTCCTGCAAGCCTCGAGGCTCCCTGTAGGATCCAGTCTGGACTCCTCACTTGACCAAACCAGCCTGTCTCCACTCCCCACAGGGCAGTTCTCAGGGTTTCCCAGACAGCCCTGCCTCTTTCCTGCCCCTTGGCCGCAGCCCACACAGACCCTTCCACCGGGCCCCTTGTACTCCAGCCAAACGTCAACTCATTTTTCAGGACTCTGCTCACTCACCCCTCCTCTGTGATGTCCCCCAAGGCGACACAGTCCCCA